ACTCCAGAGACTGAGTTCAGCAGGAGCGTCTCTGAGTTGCAGAGTCAGGTGCGTGATCACACATCTGACGACACTCGGACTGATGATGATGATGATGATGATGATGTGTGTGTGTGTGTGTGTGCTCAGGTGAAGTATAAGGAGGCCAGTAAGCAGCAGATGAGCAGATCTTTGTACCATCAGCTCTCAGAGACTCCAGAAACTCAACACGCTCGAGACGCCGCTCGCATCCAGAGCGAGGTAACACTGACACACTCCTGTTCTGCAGAACGCATCTCTTCCAGTGTGTGTTGACTGATAATGTGAGTGTGTGTGTGTTGTGTGATCAGCTGAAGTACAGGCAGGGCCGGGCGTCTGTGATGGGCAGTAGTTTGTTCTCGCTGATGACAGAGATGCCGCAGAACGAGTTTGTGAAGCAGCAGATGGAGCTCCGGAGTGAGGTGAACATGTCTGTCTATTCCAGTACAATATCTGAACATTCCTAAACCATGAGAAGCTAAATTAGTCGTCTTTTCTGAGAAACTGATCAAAATGAAGTGAGTTTAGGCTTAAAAAAATATCCACCAGTGGGGTCAGAAAAATCACCTTAATTCTGAGGGAAAAACCCATGAATTTCATTTTAGTACATTTAGTGGAAAACAAAACTTAATATCATAAAAAACTTTTTATATAAGTGTCCCTGGAGCACAAAAGCAGTGTTAAGTCGCTGGGGTATATTTGTAGCAATAGCCAACAATACATTGTATGGGTCAAAATTATACATTTTTCTTTTATGCCAAAAATCATTAGGATATTAAGTAAAGATCATGTTCCATGAAGATATTTTGTAAATTTCCTACCGTAAATATATCAAAACTTAATTTTTGATTAGTAATATGCATTGCTAAGAACTTCATTTGCCAAATATTTACAAATATTGACCCTTATGACTGGTTTTGTGGTCCAGGGTCACATATATATATATATATATAAATAATTTTATGTCATCCGACGGCCCCTAGTTGAGAAGCACTGATCTGGAATCTTCTTTATGTTTTGTGACTTCATGTTAAGTGTTTTCCTCGTCACGTGTGTTTGTGTGTTTCAGCTGAAGTATAAAGCTGACGTGAAGGAAAACTCCAGTAATCTGTACTCGCTCATGCCCGAGACGCTGGACATGCAGTACGCCAAACACGCCGCGGAGTTACAGAGTGACGTACGACACACACGCGTGTGAACTCACTGAGACTCGTCAGAGCAACAATATATCAGTCACTCTCTCCCTGATCACCATAGCAACCCCTTAACAACACCATAGCAACCACTCAGAAACACAACTCTAGAAACACCCTGGAGACCATCCAGAACACCACTTCTTAACAACACCATAGCAACCACTTACCTAGCCCTAGCAACCATCCCGAACACCCTAGCAACCATCTCCGAGCTCAGAACGTTCAGACGTCAGGATTGTGAATCATGTTGACCTCAGGTGAAGTATAAGGAGGCCAGTAAGCAGCAGATGAGCAGATCTCTGTACCATCAGCTCCCAGAGACTCCAGAGACTCAACACGCTCGAGACGCCGCTCACATCCAGAGTGAGGTAACGCTGCACACGCTTGCGTCACGCCTCCTCACACGCGTCTGACCGCAGCGCCTGACCTTCATCTGATCATCTGCACTCAGGTGGCCTATAAAGGCATCAGGAAGGGCGATTTCTCGGGTTCCTCCTTCACTGCGGTTCCAGACTCGGCAGAGATGAAGTTCATTCAGCAGATCTCGCACGTGCTCAGTGAGGTGTGGCTCATTTCATTCATGATGCTGATGTGACATGCGTCACGCGTGACTCCATCTCCATGTGTGTTTCAGAAAGAGTACCGTGAGAAGGGCCAGAGGAGCCTCTCGTCCAGCGTTTACTCTCAGCTGCCCGACACTCCAGAGACACAGTTCATCAAATCAGTGTCTGACCTGCAGAGCAAGGTGAGCGAACATGTACTATTAGAGTCAGTTATTTTACAATAAAAGCAATCAAAATATAAAATCATAGACCTTTGTAGAGTCATTTACAACAGCTTCGAACGCGGCTCAGCCAATCAGAATCAAGCACCGGAACTATCCGGTTTATAAATGTAAACTTAAAAACAAAAAAAGCAATCAAAATAAAACACTTAGTAAAAAATACTAAATATTTTATTAGTTTAGTTGCATTTCATGTGTGCATTAATCGACATCAGAGAACTGTGAACATGAGATTGTGTTGTTAAATTACTGAATTAATAACCTAAAATCCCAGAGAGACTACAAGTAAATATTTGAGCTCAGAGGGGTTCGGTTGATGGAAAAACATTTGGGAATCTCTGACTGAAACACCTGCGTTTGCTTATTATGAGACCAAACATTGGTCAGGGTCGCCAGTTCATCTGGGAGTTTCTCGTGAGACTCTTCAGAGCGTTCCTGATCAAGCGTGTTGTGTTTCAGTGTTTGATGTGTCTCTCATCAGCGAATGAGCTGCGGTGTGTCTGTGTGTTTCATTCAGGTGAAATATAAGGCGTCTGGGAAGCAGCAGGTGAGCGACTCGCTGTACGCCACACTGCCAGAGACGCTGGACACGCAACACGCTAAACACGCCACCACCATCATCAGTGAGGTACAGCGGCCTCGTGTTCAAACACTGTGTGATTTCTGCACGTTACAAACTCACAGTCTCACAGCAGAAGAGCTCGAGGTCGTCATGTTTTATATGTTCAGGTGAAGTACAGAGAGGACGGCAGACTGAGTTTGTCCAGTCCATTATTCACTCGACTGCCAGAGACGCTGCAGACGCAGACGGCCAGAGAGATCGCAGACGCACAGAGCGACGTGAGCACATCTTCACTATATAGGGCACTAGATGTGAGCCGTGGGTTCTGTTTGTGCTGTTTTTACTCCTTAAAACTCAAGTGTGTCGTCAGCTGATCGCAGTACAGACAACAGTGACGGCTGATGTTCATCAGTGTTTTACAGAATATGAATCAGGGTCAGAGATTAACGAGGGCTTAGAGAAAAAATGCAACTGAAATTAATTTTTAAAAAGCCCCCAAATTCAAGATAATGGATGCAAAAAATTTCCCTCTATGATTTTTTTTGTTTTATATTTATATCATATCACGTAGTTAAGCAACTTCACATGAGTAAGAGTGCTGCTTTCCCTGAAGCCTGTTTTTGCTCTATTTCACAAATGAAAACCATTCCAAACAAACCCAGCAGAACTGTCATGTGTGCGAGTAAAACAGCTGTTTGATTTCTGAATGAATCCGGATGATGCTGATCTCATTTGATTGGTAACAGCCTATAGCGTCTAATTGAATGTATTGATTAAATGTAATAATTTGACGTTGAAGATGATGTATATTTTTGCAAGTTTGGTCAGTTGCCCTTATAAGTGTAAAACTGCCCTTGAAAATCAATTTAAGGTGACAAATATAGCCTTTAATGGAGCGTTTGAATGAATCAGTTCTCATTTACATCCGGCTCATGTTTAAATACTGATTATTGTGTGCTCCTGCTGCTGTTCTCAGGTCAGATATAAGCAGAAGAATGATCAGGTCAGTCTGTATTCACTCCTGCCGCAGACCGCAGACACAGAGTTTGCCAAACACATGAGCAACATCCAGAGTGAGGTAACACGCGTGTACTGCACTGATGCCACACTATTACTGATATTACTAAAGTACACTTTAGAGTCTATATAAGTTCAGTCTGTTTCTTTGGGTGTAAAGCAGCTTCTATTTTCAGCTTCAGTACAAGCAGGAGGGTAAGAAGGAAGCGGAGAGCAATCTGTACAGCCTGATGCCACAGACGCTCCAGACCGAACACGCTAAAGACGCCTACGAGCTGCAGAGTCACGTATGTGTGTCGCATCACGGACAGACACAGTTTGTGAATGACAGGAGGTCAGCATGTGTGATGAGGAAGCGTGTGTATTTACACATGACTGTGTATGTAGGTTAAATATAAAGAGAAGAACAAAACAGATGCATCTCTTTACGCCTGTCTGCCCGAGACTCAGAACACGGAACACGCCAAACACGCCGGAGAGCTGTGCAGTGAGGTATGTACGGCACTGACAGCAGATTCACACACGCTCATGAGCGTCACACTGACCGCAGGTGTGTTTCCCTCAGCTGAAGTATAAAGAGGCCGTGAAGAAGGATCTGTCCTCACCGCTGTACTCGCAGATGAGCGACACCGCAGAGATCCAGCGTCTCCGAGATCTCGCCGCACTGCAGAGTCAGGTAACGCACATGAACACACCTGAACACACCTGAACACGCCTGGACACACCTGGACACACCTGGACACACCTGAACACACATGAACAAGCCTGAACATACATGAACACGCCTGAACACACCTGCACACACATGAACACACCTGGACACACCTGAACACACATGAACACGCCTGAACACGCCTGCACACACATGAACACACCTGGACACACCTGAACACACATGAACACGCCTGAACACGCCTGCACACACATGAACACACCTGGACACACCTGAACACACATGAACACACCTGAACATACCTGAACACACCTGCACACACATGAACACACCTGGACACATCTGAACACACATGAACACGCCTGAACATATATGAACACGCCTGAACACACATGAACACGCCTGCACACACATGAACACACCTGGACACACCTGAACACACATGAACACACCTGAACATACCTGAACACACCTGCACACACATGAACATACCTGAACACACCTGGACACACATGAACATACCTAAACACACTTGAACACATCTGAACACACATGAACATACATGAACATACCTGAACACACCTGCACACACATGAACATACCTGAACACGCCTGAACACGCCTGAACACACCTGCACACACATGAACATACCTGAACACACCTGAACACACCTGCACACACATGAACACACATGAACATATCTGAACACACCTGCACACACCTGCAAACGCCTGAACACGCCTGCACACACCTGCACACACATGAACATACCTGAACACACCTGCACACACCTGCACACACATGAACACACCTGAACACACCTGCACACACCTGCACACACCTGCACACACATGAACACACCTAAACACACTTGAACACATCTGAACACACATGAACACATCTGAACACACATGAACATGCCTGAACACACATGAACACATCTGAACACGCCTGGACATACCTGAACACACATGAACACAACTGAACATACCTGGCCTGAACACGCCTGAACACGCCTGAACACACCTGCACACACATGAACATACCTGAACACACCTGCACACACCTGCACACACATGAACACACCTGAACACACCTGCACACACCTGCACACACCTGCACACACATGAACACACCTAAACACACTTGAACACATCTGAACACACATGAACACATCTGAACACACATGAACATGCCTGAACACACATGAACACATCTGAACACGCCTGGACATACCTGAACACACATGAACACAACTGAACATACCTGGACACACCTGAACATACCTGAACACATCTGAACACACATGAACATACCTGTATGTCTCTAGTGCAGACCGTATACAGCTTTTATTCAGAGACTCAAACTGAGCAAAAATATGCAATTTGCTGCAGATGCTGATATTTATATGATGATATTCTGATGCTTGTAATGTAAATCAGTATATTTACAGTACATACAGTAAAATGCTATAAATATCAGTCGTGGCTCTATATCTCCAGTAATAAGATGAGATTGAAATGCTCCAAACATAACGCAGTGATCGAGAGCTGAAGAAATAAAGGCTCCTCAGAAGATGTGAGATGTTCTGGAGGCTTGTGAAGATCATTCCTCCGCTGAGGAACAGTGAAAGTAAAGCTTCTGGAAACAAACGCTCCTCAAAAGATCCTGAGGATCAGATTTGAGACTCTAAAACATGATTGATGGAGAATCAAGTAAAGCTGAGCTGCTTCAGTCCAGTAAGTGTTCATCTGGAGATATTACTGCAGTTATTCTGATGCTTACTTGATCAAAATCAGTCAAGATTTGACACGAGAAGCTCCAGCTGAAGCTGGACATTTGTACAGTTACACTAAAAGAGCTTTTACTGGATTAAAAACTCTAAACTCTCAATCAGACGTGCAGGAGACATGAGGAGATTGAGTGTGACATGATTAACAGCAAAGTTTTGATTATTGCATCAAATATGATACAATAATGATATCTTTATAGGGTTAAAACAAGAACAAATATCTGCCAATAAGATGCTGGTCAGTGTTGATTAGTATGGAGACTCATGAATGTGTGCTGATGTGTTTCAGGTTCAGTACAAGACTGAAGGACAGAAGCTCATGAGCGCCAGTGTTTATTCTCAGATGGCAGAGACTCCAGAGACGCAGTTCATGAAGACGGTGACTGAACTCCAGAGCGACGTGAGGATGAACACGCCACACACACACGGGTGCTGATAGTGACATCACATAAGCAGCAGATGAGCAGATCTCTGTACCATCAGCTCCCAGAGACTCCTGAGACTCAACACGCTCGAGATGCCGCTCACATCCAGAGTGAGGTAACTGCTTCTTCATCATCATCATCATCAGTTTAACTATGCGTCTGATCAGTAAAGCATCAGCACACTCTCCTCAACAGCACACATGATGTGAGGAATCATTCATGTCACTCAGTGCTGCAGCTGTGATCAGCATGGGCTGTAGTACTAGTGATGGTTGAGTTAGTGAACTGTCTGTGGTTTCAGATGAAGTATAAAGAGAAGGTGAACTCCTCGTCTCTTTACTCACGTCTGCCAGAGACGCCAGAGACTCGACTGGCCAGAGAGCTGACAGACGTCTGCAGCGAGGTACAGCTCACACAGCATCTGAAGGGTTAACATGGTTCCTGTGGTCACGTGAGCGGTCAGTTAGCGGTGTGTGTGGGTCAGTGGGTTATCAGGAGGTTATTTTAACTCTGCAGGTCAGATATAAAGAGGAGGGGAAGAGAGACATGTCGTCCTGTCTGTACTCACATCTGCCCAAGACGCCGGAGACGCAGTTCGCCAAACAGCAGAGTGAACTCCAGAGCCAGGTAAACGTCACTGCGTTCACTGATTAGTAGTCGTTAATCATGTTCATTTGCTCATTTCCAGTCGTTTTTGTCAGGTGTGATTCTGAGCTAGAGCTGCACGTTATTGCACTATTTTTTTCTGCTCTGTATATTGTGATATGAAAAAATACAGTTTGACCAGAAGACTTGAAAAGCTCCATTTAAAAAAAAAAAACAATCGTTCTAGAGTGTGTGGGTGGTTTTGTTAGAGTGCATCTTTATGTAAAACAAAATTATTTTTAAAAAAGCTGAAAATGTAAATTTGATGTAAATGATGATTTTAAATGTAAATCATCCTTATAGGGCTGAACGGTTTGAGAAAAATGTAGGTGTTCATAGTAAATCATACCTGTTTCAGTAACTATAAAGTAAACCGTTTTTATATTTCTTTCCACTTGAGTTTTCATAGGCCACATTTATACTGTTTTTGAACAGTTCAGTATGACTAAAAAATAAATAAGAAATAAATTAAAATAATTAAAATATTAAACAAAATAAATAATGTATTCTAGTAATCCTGTTGTAGTGTAAAATAAGAATAAATAAAATTAATAAAAAAAATATTTTACTGTAAAATTACAATACTAATATTTAGGTCTTAATTTCTTCATTTTCAAATAGTAAACCATTAGGCTTTTATTTTGACGTGTTCTCAGCAATTAAAAACACATGGTGCCGTTTCAGAGTGAAGCGTGTGTGTGTGTGTGTGAGTGAGGATCTGTCTCACTGTCTGTACTCTCAGCTGCCTGAGACGCTGCACACACAGTTTGTGAAGGAGCTGACGCCGCTCATCAGTGAGGTGATCATCTGTCCACATTCATCCAGACACATCTGAAAACGCTCTCCGTCCAAACCCGTGTTTTCAGGCGTTGCTCGTCCACACACTGAAACATCTGCAGACTCTTAAATCGCCTCACTGTGCTCTCATAAATCCACACAGAAGCTCAGTGAGAGAACAGACAAAACAGAGTATCCCACCACACGCTGGTGTCCAGATTCTGTGTTGGGTATAAAACACAATCGGACAGCAATTACAAGCACATTTTCTGTCATCTTTGTGGAGATGTCAAGAATATTTTGTACATTCTTCATATTACAACACTTTGAAAGTGGATAGTAGGCATAACGACATCTTGTTTGTTTCAGGTTAAGTTGATTGCATGACTGCATTATATGACTAAACATGCGTCAATGTTTTAAAATTAACCCCATTTTCACAATTAAAACATGAAAACGGCATTTTAAAATGTATTCACTTGGGAGAGCGTCATCAAAACTGTTTTCACTGGACAAAAACACAGAAAAAGATGCATCTTCAAATTAAAGTGTCCATACTGTTGTGTCAGTAGCTTTATTCTGTGGGCCGCGTCTCAAACGCTGCTGTATCTCTGAGCTGATAAGTGTGGCTATAGTTAGCCGCTCGTCCCAGAGCTCCGCTCGTGACTCACCGTTCGCTCGGACAATCTGTGCTTTAGTGCAGAGAACAATATTCAGCACAAACACATGATGATGTTTGATCATCCCGAAATTATTCATCAGTCACATTTATTTATACAGCGCTTTTTACAATAGAGATCGTCAAAGCAGCTTCACAGTAATAAACAGGAAGATAAGTGTTAATGTTGTAAAATTCATCAATTATGAGCAGCTCTATGAGCAGCAGTTCTAGTTCTCATCTGATAGTGTCAGTGCGGTTAAATCAGTCACATATTGATGTTTCAGAGCAAATACAGAGAGTCTGGTAAGAAGGAGAGCAGCACGTCTCTGTATCACACGCTCCCAGAAACCAAAGACACGCAACACGCCAGAGACGCCACACAGATCCAGAGCGAGGTGCGTCCCAGCGTCTGCATGTGCTTCAGATTCAGAGCGGATTCAGTCGCTCAGCGTCTGTTTCTCCTCCACAGATCAGATATAAAGAAGGGAAGAGGCTGCAGTCGTGCAGTGTTTACTCTCAGCTGCCGCAGACGCCGCAGACTCAGCTCGCTGCCAGAGTCTCGGAGCTGCAGAGCGATGTAACGACACACACGATCACTAATCATCATGATCGGTACAGTCAGTTTCAGTAAACGCATGCGGGAATCTGTTTTCCAGAATAAATACAGAGAGGACGGCAGGAGGAGCGTCTCCAGCTGCCTGTATTCTCAGCTGCCCGAGACTCCAGAGACACAGTTTGTCCGAACAGTGACCGAACTGCAGAGCGACGTGAGCAAACGACTCACATGAATCAAAACACTCACACACACACACACTTACACACACACACACACACACACACACACACA